GGAAAGAGTACGCCTCAGTTGCCCACTTGCCCATAACATGATCAGTCCTGCTGCAGGGGAACAAATGGGGCTCTGTGATCCCACAAACATCCTTCGGCCTCACAGAGTTGGAAGAATTTGCCCACACATTTTCTGTTCAGTCAATTATTTCTGCTTATCCTTCAAGGCACAGCTTAAAGTTTATCCCCTTGAGCTTCCCTGGTGGCGCAGTGGTTGAGAGTCCGCCTGCTGATGCAGGGGATGTGGGTTCCTGCCCCGGTCCGGGAAGATCCCACATGCTGCAGAGCGGCTGGGCCCATGAGCCATGGCCGCTGAGCCTGCGCGTCCGGAGCCTGTGCTCTGCTACGGGAGAGGCCACACAGTGAGAGGCCCGCGTACCGCAAAAAAAAAAAAGTTTATCCCCTCTGAGAAGCCCTTCTTCATCTGGTAGTCAGGACTCTTAGTTGAAAATACCACAAACCTATTCCAGAGAGATTGTTGAAATAGAAATTTTGTTGGTAGGATGTTATCTCATGTAACTTTGGGAAGTTCAAGGGCAGTTGGGCTTCAGGAACACAAATGCTGCCTGAAATTTCTCTCTGTATCTCATTGCATGTCACTACCAGAGAGGAACTGCCTCTGTTTCCTTCTTTTCTTTTCTTTTCTTTTCTTTTCTTTTCTTTTCTTTTCTTTCTTTCTTTCTTTTTCTCTTTCTCTTTCTTTTTCTTTCTTCCTTCCTTCCTTCCTTCCTTTTTTTCTTTCTTTCTTTCTTCTTTCTCTTTCTTATCTTTATTGGAGTAGAATTGCTTTACATTGGTGTGTGTTTTCTTATTTCTGATTTGAAAAATCTGGAGAATAATCTTCTGGCCAATCAGCAGTGGCCATGGCATCAGGGTCACATGCCATAGACAGGCCTTTGGGGCCCACACTTACATTTCAGGGTGGTTCCCAGAGACAGGGCCACAGTTTCCACATCTGTAAAGTAGGGAATTAGGTCTTTCTTTCTGTGTGGTGTTCTGGCACATTGCTCAGGCTTAACCTTTGTGATTCCTCATCATGTGAGTGGAAGCCTGGGAGGGGAGGGTCACTGAGGAGAAGCTTGGCTGAGCTCTGCCACTTGGGTCTAAGAGGGGCTTCCCACTTAGGGCAGAGACTTAGATGTCACCAATATCCACTCTTCCTACACTAAGTGAACTACTACTTTGCAGCTTAATACGTGGCCAACCAGATAAAATAATATTTCCCAGTCTTTTTGCACTAGCATGGCCAAGAGACTACATTTTAGCCAATGGGTTGTGTGTACATCTTAGGGAAGCATCGTCAGATGCAGTAGAGTGCCCCTTCCCCCTCTCTGTGGGCTAAGTGTAGACATGATGGTTGGAATTGAAGCGGCTATTTGGACATTGGGGCGGAAACTGATAAGGATAGCAGAGTATAATATAAAAGGAACACGAAGTTAGCATACTACATAGGTCTGTGTGTGAGAGAAATTAACTTCTATCTGTTTAAGCCACTGTTATTTCAGCTTTTTGATCTCTCACAGCCAGACTTAATCCTATACCAACCCTATGCAGGTGGGAAACAAGTTTCTATTGTCAATAGCCATAGAAGGGCCTTACAGGTCACCTCTCAGTCCCTGCTACCTGCAGACCTATCAGCAACAATTGCTGCCCAGGTTCCCATTTCAGTGGTCCAGGGAATGCTGGTTCCTGTCCTCCCTGCCCCCACTTTCCTCCCAGTGTGTATTTTCCCTCCGAGCATTTCCTGCTCCAGCTGCCTGCCCTGGAGCAGGAATCTGAGTCTGTGTGACCCTGCTGCCGCCTGCCAGGCCCCTCTCCACACTCTTCTGCCCACCACCTCCACCACTACCAAAAGGCTCCTGTAAGCTTTGGCCACGAGCGGGTATCTGACATATACCACAGGCTGGGATCTCTGTCTATGGTGGGATTTCCCAATGCTACATGTCCCTGTGGGCCATTGTGTGAATGCCTGTGAGCTGTGTGTGTCCAATGTCAACATATTTAACAACCAGTCAGAATGGACGTTCACCAAAAGAGCAGAGCAGGGTCTGGACATGATCCTGCTATGGTGGCCAGGGTGCAGGGGAACACTCAAGGGCTTGGGGCAGCACCTGTTGTCAACAATTACAGACCTGGTTCAGTATTGTAATAAGCAGTCAGATGTATGATGAATACCACCTGAATATCAGCCATGATAGTGTTGACATGGGGGAGTGTGTGTGTGTGTGTGTGTGTGTGTGTGTGTGTGTGTGTGTGTGTGAGAGAGAGAGAGATTTGGGGTGCTGGTACAGCCCAGGGAGAAAACTGTGAGGGGTGTGGGACCAAAGGCTGTTCAAGGCTGGGCCTTGCAGTGGCAGAGGGTACAGATTTCAGTTAGGTTCTTGACCTCAGTGACAGGCCAGGCTGGGGCACACAGGAGCACTGCATAGAGCCCTGGGGACAGGGACTGACTCTCAGAGTCCTGACCCCCTCGAGAAGGCAGAAGATGCCTGGGACCTCTAGGGGAACATGTGACAGGGTTGAGGAGCATCAGAGTGATGGAGAGGACATCAGATTCAGAGTAGGGAGGATGGCAAAATTACCCCCTATGCCAGCCTCCTCCCCAGGATCCCCAAAGACACTGACCTGCTTGGCCAGGTTGTGCTGAATCTTTTATTTCATGTCACATCCTCTCCATGCCCACCATGGTTCTCCAGCCTGAAGCTTCATGGCTCAAGGGGCTCCTGTGGGGTTAGCATTTGCCATCGTTCACGATCTGGATGTCCTGTCTTTTTTCTAGGATCACAGCAGACATGGATGAGGCCACCTCCTCAGGAACCGTAATGTACCCTTCAGGAACCCTGGCCCAGTCCAGACCCCCTGCTGAGCTCTGCCCACCCACCCAGTGTACAGTGCGGGGGAGGTCCCAGGGCTCCCTGGGCATATCCTTCTACAGCTTTTCCCTCTGTACACCCTCGCCCGGGGCAGTTTCAGCTTCCTGGGCTTTCAACCACCTCTGCATGCTGTTGGCCGCAAATCTTTCTCTGGCCTGGACCTCTGTCTTAGACTCCAGGCCTGTTCATGTGATTGTCCATTGTACATTGCCACTGGGATGTCCCAGAGGCTCCACTGTCCACGAACATCATCGCCCCACAAACCTGCCACACACCCCCTGCCCCCCGCCACATGGCACCACCAGCCACCCAAGCCTACAAGTTAGAAACCAGCATGTTGCTCTTGCTTCCTTCCTGCCTGTCAACCCCTCACATCCAATCTCACAGCTTGTCGATTCTACGCCCAGTGTAACCATGAGTCTTTAATTATCATGATCGTTTTCCAAGTTAGGACAGTGTCCGTCTGTCTAGAATATTGCAGCTTCCAAAGACTCTTCTCTTCTGTGTTCTCACTTATCTCTGGCCGGCTCAAGGTCTTATGAATGAAGAAATGAGACCAAATAGGAGATCCGATGTACCAAGGTCATGTTCCGGCCCTGCTTGCTCTAGACTCATTTCTTGCCTCTCCCCCATTCTCCTTTAAATGAGAATGTACTCCAGCATACCCACCTTCTTATATTTCCTCAAATACAAACTTTCTTTCCCTTCTAGATCTTTCCAAACTCATTTCTCTACTTGGAATTACTTTCCCTTGTTTCTTCTTTTTCCCTACCTAATTTCTACTTATCCCTCAGGGCTGAGCTGAGGTTTCACCTCCCCTGGGAAGTCTTCCCTGCCTTGTCCTTGCCTGGTACCCACAGTACCCTGTGCGCCCCCATCTGGGCCTTTAGCATTCTGTGCTGCCGTTGGCTGACCTTCAGCTTGGCTTCCCCCTTAGACTGACTGTTTGCCCCAGGAGCCGGTAATGCTGTCTAGCTTATTATGCCCTGTTGTATCCCCAGTGCCCGGCACACAGTAGGTGTTCAATAAATAATTGTTGGCTGGAGGAATAAATGAACAAATAAGGTCACCTAGTCAGTCGGGGGCAGAACAAGGAAAATAGCCCAGAGTTTCTACCCGAACCCTGAACCCCCAACCAGTGGGCTTTCTGCTTGGAACCATGTGCCTTCTTTTGATTTATACTTGCACTCACTCTGTTATGGGCAAATGTTGGAGGACTCTTCCCAGGCCAAGTGTGAGTGAAGGAAGAAGCAGGTCAAGTCCTGCTCCTTTCAGACTCATATGCACCACAGATGGGGCCCACCCAAGCCAACCCAGGGGAAGGTGGGGGGGGTGGACTTACATGCGAGCCAAGCAGAGCTTGCATTCACTGTCATACGTGACCCTGTCAGTGCCACAGACCGGGTCATATATCTAGGGGCAGACTGGAGATTCTGCCATGTGCTCACAGATGGGCTGTGGAAGAGAGGAAGGGGGAGGCGCTCAGGGATTCGGAGGCAGAGAGGAGGGACCTGGGGGCTCTGCCTGCAGCCAGGTGGGGATCTCCATGGAGGAGCCAGATTCAAGAAGGCCCCAGTGTGGGTCCAAAGAGCATGAAACCAACCACTCAGGGCCCTTTGGCACATTTGCTTATGTGTGTGTACACGACCGTGGACCGTGGGTGTGTACGTAAGTGTGTACCTATATCTGCTGAGCCCAAGTATGTGGGCATCCAGGTGAATGCCTGTCTTTATGGGCTCACACACTCCTCACGGGGTCTAATAGAACCCTGCTGCTGGTCCTATTGAGGACCCCGGGAGACGGAACCACCCATCATTCCTAGGAGGCCCCGCCTCCCTGGGGGCTCCTGAACTCACCCTGGCCGCATGACCTATCAGGCCCCTAGTATGAGAAGGCTGGAGAAATGGGACTTAATTGAAGCTCAGTCTGAAAGGGTTTCAAGCCAGCCCTGAGGTCAGGTCAGAATTGGGTCAGGACTAGGATTGGGGTCTGGGGTAGGGATAGGGTGAGGGGGGCAGTGCCCTGCAGCAGTGAAGGCCCCACGCCCGAGAGACCTGAACTCTGCACTGATTAGCCGTGAATCTTTGGCGGAGTGGGTGGGCCTGCTCAGCCTGGAAGGGCTAACCTGGGGAGCATGCAGGCTCAGGAGGCCACCCTGGCCACTGCGGAGCCATTGAAGGTGTATGAGCAGGAGTGTAAAGAAGACCCCCGGTTTCCCAGCATGGATGAGAGGCCTCCCCTCTGCAGAAGGAAGGCCAGATCAGCAGCCCTGAGGCCAGAACTGCAAGCAGCTGCCTTACCATTCTTGAGAAGATGAACTTTGCTGCCGACACTGACACTTCTGAAAGGCAAAGAAGCAAGAATTAGGTGATACTGGCTCTAGGCCCCAGGTCCAGGGGCCTGAGGACAGCTTCTTTGGGGCATCTGTCCAGCCACCACCCAATCTGGAATTCCTCAAGGAAAGGTAGTGAGTCACCAGACAGGGGCTCCCAGAAAGCTCATGTGACCTTGTATTATAAGAACTGAGACAGAAAGTCTAGAATTAGGGAGATGAAAGTCCAGCCTGTTCGTTATTAGTTAGGTCCCACTGGGATTGTTATGTTCCATACAATAGCAATGAAAATAATTCAGTTACTGTGTACCAGGCCATGACAACACGTGACCTTGACTGCTATTCACAGCTTTCTCAAGCCTGTGTAACAGGCGGGAGAGGAAGCAGTGGTCTGTGACCCCCAGAGATACTCCAGGAGTATAGGCTGCTCACAGCAGAGTCCTTTCCTGGGAATTACCCTCAGAGAATGGAGTTGCCTTGCCCAAGGTCGCGTTCCCTACCCAGAAACAGCTCGCATCCAATGTCAGGGTGATGTGGGTACAATGGTCTGAACTCCTCTCTACTCAGAATGATGCTAATGGGCCATCCCAGCTCTACCACATCACAGTCACATCCCTCATCCCTCATAGGTGTTACCCCGTGAGCACTCCCCAGAGTCTGCTTCCCGGGGAACTTGACCAACTTATGAAAGAGGCTCACAGGTAAAGCAACACAGTTCGTTAAGGGCAGAGCTTGGATTTGCACATGGATCTGTCACTCCACATATGCAGTCATGCCCCATGGCCCCTCGAGGTCTGGACGAACTTCTTACAGGACATGAGCAAATTGTGATGTGACTGGCAAGCCTGACGGGTGGATGAGGGAACGGGAGCTGTATTTAAGACCACAGGTGTAAGGAAAGGTATCCATGTAAACTGAAGAAGGGCAGGCTGCTTCCTGAAGTCTCTGAAGGGCTGTCATGGGACCATGGGAGAGATGAGCTCTTCTCAGCCTCACAGGGCAGAGCTCATCTGCGTGAGGAGGCTGCAAAGAAGCAGGTGTGGGTTCCAGAATTTTCTCTCAGTGGGAGCTATGCCTTAATGAAGGAGGCTGTCTCCAGAAGTGGAGAGCTCTATCCCTAGAGGTGGGCGAGGCGCTGTGGTTTTAGCTTTTCCTGGAGATGCTATTACAAGAGATTTCCAAGGCAGAGAGGAAGAAGGGAACCAAAACTGACCTCTGATGCACTGTTGAAGTGTCAACATGCAAATCTACCCTGTCACCACACTGCTCAAAACCCTTCCATGTCATAATCACCCAAACTGCAAATTATCCAAATGTCCATCAACAGGCGAATGGATAAACTGTGATACACATGTACAGTACAATACAACTCAACAATGAAAACAAGCCAATAGGGCTTCCCTGGTGGTGCAGTGGTTAAGAATCAGCCTGCCAGTGCAGGGGACACGGGTTCGAGCCCTGGTCCGGGAAGATCCCACATGCCACGGAGCATCTAAGCCCGTGCGCCTAGAGCCCGTGCTCCACAACAAGAGAAGCCACCACAGCGAGAAGCCCGCGCACCGCAACAAAGAGTAGCTGCAACTAGAGAAAGCCTGCGTGCAGCAACAAAGACCCAACGAAGCCAAAAATAAATAAATAAATAAATAAATTTTAAAAAACCCAACAATCCAATAACATAACATGCAACACCATGGCTGAATCTCAAAAACACTCCTAAGAAGCCAGACACAAACGACTCCACACTGTATGGTTTCATCTGTGTGACATTCTAGAGCAGGCAAACTAATGTATGGTGGAAAAAAGTCAGAGCTGTGGTTACCTCTGGGGCAGGGGTGGGGTAGGGGCAGGGATTGACTGACATGAAGGAAATTTCTGGAGTGATGGAACTGTTCTGTATCTTGGTAAGGATCTGGGTTACACAGGTATATGCCTCATCAAAACTCATTGAATAGGGGCTTCCCTGGTGGCGCCGTGGTTGAGAGTCCGCCTGCCGATGCAGGGGACACGGGTTCGTGCCCTGGTCCGGGAAAATCCCACATGCTGTGGGTGGGGGGGACGACGCCCCCCCAGCCGATGCAGGGGACGCAGGTTTGTGCCCCGGTCCGGGAAGATTCCACATGCCGCACAGCGGCTGGGTCTATGAGCCATGGCCGCTGAGCCTGCACGTCCGGAGCCTGTGCTCCGCAACGGGAGAGGCCACAACAGGGAGAGGCCCCGGTACTGCAAAAAAAAAAAAAAAACCTCATTGAATAGGATTCATTGAGTGATAAGACTTGTGCCTTTCATGGTGCATAATTGTTAGCGGGGGAGAAAAAGCATTAAAAAAAAAATAAAGCCCTTCCAAGGCTCCCTGTCGTGACCACTAAGCCTCTTCATCTTACGTTTAGGGCACCGCATGAGCTGAGCCCAAACTTCCCCTGGGCTCACTTCCTCGTACACCTCCCCATGCCCCTGCGCCCCCGCCATTCCTCTCTGCTCACTCTTCTGGAACAAGCTCTGTGTTGGCTTATGCTGGTCCCTCTGCCTGAAATGTCCTTATTCTTCTCCTCCTGTTGACTCAGACCCTCCTCTCAAGACGCAGACCACCTCCCAGTGAAGTATTCCCTGATATCCCCCAGGGCTTCCTGAGCAGGCCTGGACTTAGGCTTCTGTTTTAGTCCCTTTGGGCTGCTATAACAAAAATAGCATAAACTGGGTGGCTTATCAACAAACGTTTATTACCCATACTTTTGGAGACTGGAAGTCTAAGGCCATGGTGCCGGCAAACTTGGTGTCTGGCAAGAACCCTCTTCCTGGTTAGTAGTCGGTGCCTTCTCACTGTGTCCTCACGTGGTGAAGGGCTGAAGGAGCTCTCTGGGGCCTCGTTTATAAGGGCACCGATCCCATTCATGTGGACTCTGGCTTCATGACCTAATCACCCCACAAAGGTCCCACCACCCAATACTATCACCTTGGGAGTTAGAATCTCAACATATGAATTTGGGGGGCCACAAACAGCTAGACCCTAGTAGCTTCTTTCACACCACCGTGTGCTCACCCACTCACCGGGTCACTCTTGCCTTCCGACGGACCTGAGCGCCTTGGGGTTCCTTTGTCTCTGCCTCCAAGTGGCAATGCCCTTCACACAGTGAGTGTCTAGGATTTGACCACTAATGTGCATTGTGGGGGAGAAGTTCAGAACCCTGTGGTGTCAGAGTTTCTTCCTGGATGATGTGGAAAGTTGCATTTACCCCCAGACTGCCCTTGACCTTGGCCCAGTGTGCCCCTTCCTCACACAGCCCAGGCAGGAATCTGCAATGGGCAAAAGAACTCTCTTTAGGGCAGCCTCTTCAGTGTTCCCAACAAGAGAGCTGCTGAGGGAATGGATGCCAGGCTGGGAGTAAGCAGGCTGTGCCAGGCCAGAGTCTGCAGACCCATTCTCTATTGTGTCAGCTCCTAGTCTATGTCCCCAGCTGGGGAAATGGGTTTTAGACTGGCCATGAGGCCAATGTCCCTGGGGTCCTGCTGGGCTTTGCTCTGTAACATCATGACTTTGCCCAGGTGTGTCCTAAATAGTCTCCCTGCTTACCCTTTTAGTCTGTTCTCAACTTAGCAACCAGAGCAAACCTTTTAACACATAACTCTGCTCATTACACTTCAGTGTCTCCCATTTCACTCAAAGGAAAAGCCATGCCCTCACATTGACCTCCAATGCCTTACCCAATATAGTTCCCAGTTGCCTGTATCATCTCTTCTCCTATCTCTCTGCACCCTGCCCCTCACTCTCTTCTAGCCCCGCTGGCCTCCTTGCCGTACCTCAAACGCTCCAGACATGCTCCTACCTCAGGGCCTTTGCACTGCCTGTTCCCTCTGCCTGGAACCCACTTCTCTTAGATACCCCCATGGCTCACTCCTCTGCCTCCTTCAAGCTTTGCTCAAACATCAGCCTCTCAGAGAGAACTCCTCCGATTTAACATTGCAACCCCCTCTCAATCCCCATCACCCTGCCCGGTATTTTTTTCCTTAGGCTTTATCACCTTCTAACATACTGTTTAACATACATTGCACCTATCTTGTTTATTGTTGGTTCCCCTCCCTCAGACCCCACTGGATTTAAAGACGTATCAGGACAGTTCTTTTTCTGGGGTGCTCACTGATAAGTTCTAAGGGCTCAGAACAATGCCTGATACCCAGCAGGTGCAAGACTGCAGAGGCGCCCTAGGCCCTGAGCAGGCCCCACTCCTGCGGGCATGTGTGTAGCCCAGGGCGAGGGCTCCTTTGTGCTCACAAGGCTGCTCTCAGCCCCACAACCACAGCCTGTCAGAGCAGATGGGAGCTCAGAGGACCCAGGCCAAGCTTTCTTCAGCACCCACCACCCTACAGCCACCAGACTTGCCTATCTTCCCAGAGATAAGACTTCTCCCTTCTGCCTCCCCAATCTCTAGCCCAGTAGTTGCTCAGTGCAGCTTTGAACTAGAACAACCTCCTACTTTATAGCTGGAGAAACAGAGGCCCCAAGAGGGGAGGGGACTTTTGCAATTCTGGGACAGAGTTAGGATTTGAACCCAGGTTTCTTTTCTCCTAGCCCAGGGTGCAGAAAGAAGGTATATGCAGAAAACCAAGGCCTTAGAGGGTGCTCCAGGCCCTGCCTCTGCTCCACGCAAACTCACCTACCAACGCCAAGCCAGAGAATCCAGGCTCTGCCTACCCACCCCTGTCCACAAGGAAGAGGGCAGCCAAGGCCAGGGTGACCACCCACAGGGGGACAGTCATGCTGATCCTGGGCTGACGTGGCCTGAGTGAGCTGGGGCCTGGGCCAGGGACGATAGGGGCCTGTTTATAGTGCTGATCCCCACCCTTATCTTACCTGAGGCCAGATGGAGAGGCCGGAGGTGTCACCTGTCTGCACCTTGGCATCTAGAAAGGGTTTGTTCTCTGCAGAGACGCTGAGCTTGTGGTGGCCTGGGCCGGGGGCTGGGTCTATGGCCAGCAGATTTTGGAAGAGAGAAAAAGTTTGGACAACTTGCAAAGCTGACTCCAGACTGAGGGCTGAAGCAAGAGGCAGAGGGAAACAAGTAGAAAGAGGAAGACAGGGGCTTCCCTGGTGGCGCAGTGGTTAAGAATCCGCCTGCCAATGCAGGGAACACGGGTTTGAGCCCTGGTCGGGGAAGATCCCATGTGCCATGGAGCAACCAAGCCTGTGCGCCACAACTACTGAGCCTGTGCTCTAGAGACCACGTGCCACAACTACTGAAGCCTGCGCTCCTAGAGCCCGTGCTCCGCAACCAGAGAAGCCACTGCAATGAGATGCCTGCGCACTGCAACAAAGAGTAGCCCCTGCTCACCGCAACTAGAGAGAAAGCCTGTGCACAGCAACGAAGACCCAACACAGGCAAAAATAAATAAATAAAATAAATAAATTTATTTTTTAAAAAAAAAGAGGAAAACCAAGAGAGACTAATTCAGAGAGACTGAAACAGAGATATCAAAAAGAAAACAAAAAAGCAGCAATTGGAAGGTGGTCGGAGTTAGAGAAAAGGGGCTGGAGTCATGGGTTCCTTGGCCAGTGCTGATACTAACCCACTTCGTGAGCTCAGAAAAGCTGCTTTTGTTAAACTGGACCTCAGTTTACCCACCATAAAATGGGGAAGATAATTCTGGCTCTGTCTCCCTCCTAGGGCTGCTGTGAAGATGAGAGGTGGTGATAGCAGATGGGAAAACACTTTGCAGAGTATGAAATAAGGTATACATATAAATAGAAATTATTCTTTTCATTTATTTTTATTTCTTTTTTTGCACCATGAAGAGGGTGCAACTGACAGAGGAAAAAAAAGTAAAATAAAACATATTGTAAGGAAGATGCCCTCATGCTTTGCATGTAGTCTGTGTCCTTTTACATTTAAATGGGTTAAATACAGATGAGATTCTGTTCAGGAAAAATCAATATCTAGGGGACTTCCTTGGTGGCGCAGTGTTTTAGAATCTGCCTGCCTGCCAATGTAGGGGACACGGGTTCGAGCCCCGGTGCAGGAAGATCCCACATGCCGCAGAGCAACTAAGCCCGTGAGCCACAGCTACTGAAGCCTGCATGCCTAGATCCCGTGCTCCGCAACAAGAGAAGCCACCGCAACGAGAAGCCCGCGCACCGCAACAAAGAGTAGCCCCCGCTCGCCTCAACTAGAGAAAAGCCCGTGCACGGCAACGAAGACCCAACACACCCAAAATTAATTAATTAATTTTAAAATAAGAATTTAAAAAAGAAAAATCAGTATCTAAAACTTCCCCTTACTTATACAGGTATATGACTAAGATATTTGGTTATCTGTTTTCAAAGAATTTTTTTTAATTAATTAATTTATTTTTGGCTGCATTTGCTGTGCACAGGCCCTCTCCAGCTGCGGCAGGTGGGAGCCACTCTTCGCTGCTGTGCGCGGGCCTCTCACTGCGGCGGCCTCTCCCGTTGCGGAGCACGGGCTCCAGGCGCGCAGGCCTCAGGAGTCGTGGCCCGTGGGCCCAGGAGCTGTGGCTCGTGGGCTCCAGAGCGCAAGCCCAGCAGTTGTAGCGCACGGGCCCAGCCGCTCCGCAGCACATGGGATCCTCCGGGACCAGGGCCGGAACCCCTGTGTCCTGCATTGGCAGGCTGATTCCCAACCACTGCACCACCAGGGAAGCCCCAAAGAATTTCTGATTGTAAAGAGAATAACAAAATTTTATTTACATATGCATTTCTCTAATTCGTTTAGATCTGTGATTTTCAGCTCCATCTGCAGATAAATTTCCCTGGGGAGAACTTTAAACTACAGATGCTGAGCCCTACTCTGAAATATTTGAATCAGTGTTTTGTTTTTTTAAAAAAAACCTTTTTACTTTGAATGATTTCAAGCCTACGAATAGGTTGTAAAAATAGTTAAATGAATTAATGGGAAGGATTCTTGTTCAAGAATAGCCCCTTTGGGGGCCACAGGCAGCCAGACAATCACCCTCACAGGCTGATAGAAGCCTGGGATCTACAGCCAAGTCTACCTGAGGTCCATAACTCAGCGTTGAGATCCTCCTGCCCCTTCTCAGGAATGACTCTGAGGTGGAAGGACAAGTGGCAGATGTCCTTCCATTGCCCAACTGGGCAGAGCAAATATTTAACCATGATTTCCTGTCCTAAGGTAAGAATGCCATCTCATAAAGGAAGGGGAATTTTAAAGGTCATCTAGGTTCTCTCTCCTCTTCCACTCAGACCTTCCTACAGCAGCCCCACCAAGAAGTCATTCATCCTCCAGTGATGGGGAGAAGTTTCACTGTTGGATGGGTTTTTCCTTAAGGTTTGATTTCTTTTAATATTTTTAGTGAGGTATAGATGATGTAGAATGTTATATAAGATTCAGGTGTACGACATAGTGATTCACAATTTTTAAAGTCTATACTCCACTTATAATTATTATAAAATGTTGGCTATATTCTCTGTGCTGTACAATATATCCCTGTAGCTTTTATTTTATCCACAGTAGTTTGTACCTCTTAAACCCCTACCCCTTTCAAGTCCCTCCCCGCTTCCCTCTCCCCACTGGTAACCACTAGTTTGTTCTCTATATCTGTGAGTCAGTTTCTGTTTTGTTATGTTTATTAGTTTGTTTTATTTTTTAGATTCCACATATAAGTGATATCACACAGTATTTGTCTTCATTGTTGGATGGTTTTGAACGGAGCCCTTCCTCACACAAGAGATCTGCTTCCCTGTCTAGCCTCCTGTACCTGCATGAACCCCAGATAAGCACCTCCAGGCTGAGCAGGTCCAGCCCCTTGCCTGCCCCCACCCTTGCTTTTGTTTTTTTTGGCTGCGCGGCATGCGGGATCCTAGTTCCCCAACCGGGATCGAACGAGTGCCCCCTGCAGTGGAAGCGTGGAGTCTCAACCACTGGACCACAAGGGAAGTCCCCCCACCCTTGCATATGATGAAGCTCCTGGGTCTCTCAGCATTTCTCACCTGGTCCCCAGGTCTGTCTGCCAGTGTCCCAGGTTAGAGTGAGAAGGGGACAGAATGGAGCAAAGGAACTTGTCACCTCCCTTGTTTTGGACCTTAGACCTCTATGGTTGTGGCAGGAATGGCTGCTAATGGTTTTAGCTGTTCAAGGGAACAGAAAGCTTGAATTCTGCATCCTCCAAAGTCCAGAGTAAAATCAAGGGCAGCCTGTGGGCTGCCAAGCCCACCTACCATTCCCCGCTGCCCAAGGTCTCTTGCCTCAGACAAACACCTCCTAGATTCACTCACAGTAACAAACTTCCTAATCCATCCTCCCACCAAAGTGTGAGCCTGACTCTTATATCCAACTGCTATTGGACAACATCCCTGTGGATGTTAATGTATCCAAATAAACCTCATTCATTAATTCGAAATTCACCCATTCATTCAACAAGAGTTTAATGAGCAACTAGGTGCCCAGCTCCATGCTGAGTGTTTGGATACAGCAGGGAATAAGTCAGACACAGTTCCTGCCCTCAAGGAGCTTGTGGTTAAGTGAGTGATTGGTACTAAATGAGCAGCGGAACTGTATCATCACTGTTGGGATAAGTCCCATGAATGAGACACACTCAGTGCTTTAGGAGGATCCAAGACTGACCTATCCATCTGGGAAATCAGAGGAGGCCACAGGGTGAGTGGGTGGGGCAGGCTGTAGCAGAGTGGAACAGTGTTGCAGGCAGAGGGAACAGAATGTATAAAAGCCCTGAGGCAGGAAGAAGCTTGTCACATCCAGGGAACAGAGAGACCAGTGTAGCCAAGGTGACGTCAGTGAATAGAGAGGGGCATGAGACGAGCCTGGAATGGTCAGGGGGGCCAAATCACTGGCCCCAACTTTCCAGCTGTGGAATCTGAGAGCCAAGCCTGCGGCCTTCTTTGCTTTTCCACTGAGTGTATAGGTTCTGCTTCCTCGATAGCTCTTGACGCTGTCCCTCTCCACCCAATGCCATACCCTGGGCCTGGCCACCCTCATCTCTGACCTAGACTATCTTTGGCTACCTCAGTAGTCTCCTAGCTCATATCCCTGCCTCCTCACCTGCCACTACAAACCACTGCACACAGCGGCCAGGACGAGCTTCCTAACATGCAAATTGGACCAAGTCACCCCTGCCCAAAGTGCTGTAATGCTGCCCCCTGCCAGCAGGACAAAGCCCAGGCTCCTCAGCTTGTTGTTCAAGGCCCTTCAGCCTCTGATTCCAACCTACATTTTCAGCCTCATCTTTGCCCAGCCCCACGCTCGACCTACACTTCTTCAGTTCTACTGAACCCTTTGCATGATTTATTCTCTCTGCCGGCAGTGCCGGGTCTCCCATCTCTATCCCCCTCAGCCCCATCTTATAAAAACCAGCTCAAATATCCCCCTCTTTTGAAACCTTTCCTATTGCCCTCCACCAGCCTGGGCAAGGTCACTGCTGTCCTCCTGAATGCCCCCCTCCCAATGCCCCTCCTTCCTCCATCAGTCTTTGCCCTGTGCTCTTGTGGCATTTGTTTGTCCACCTTGCTCATAAAGCTCTCTGGGTGCCCAGTCCTGGGCCTGGCACACAGTAGGTGCCCAGTAAATACTGAGTAACAGTTCCAAGAGGGGGCAGAAGACAGTGGGTCCAAGGACAGAGATGGTCCCAGCTTTGGAAAAGAGGGAGCAGTGGAATGAAGGCAATTGCTATCCCCACTGGTCCCTCCATGCTCCTGGGAGGTCGTGAGAACCCTAGAGAGCCCGCTGACACATGCCAGACCCCAGGTGGCACAGCATGGGTCAGAGTGC